TCCAAGGCCCTTCGGCCCCTGGCTCTGCCCTCGTCACCGCCACCGCGCGCCCTCCCAGCACAGGCCCCGACAGACCGCTCGAACCGTGCTCTGCCGCCACAGCCGCAGCCAGCGCTACACCAGCGTGGGTGTAAGCTCATAACCGCTCAGAGTATCAGGCTGGCAGATGACCCCAGGCCAACTTGCTCTCAAATCCTTAGAGCAAAACGAAGGTTAGAGTAAATGTGTTTAAGTAAGGTAAGCGCTTGCAAGTTTTTCCACTCCCTCCACATTCACCTGCCCATCTTTCAGTGCTGACCTATTAAAGACACCAAACAACTTGCTCAGGGTCCAAGCCATCAAGAAGTTAGCTGGAGTTGTGGGTGCTGTAGGGGTAACAGGGCACTCCTGAAGACTGAACCCTCAGGGCTTCGCCTTGCAGCTGCCTCCAGAGCAGCCCCAGCAATCCCACGCCACGACTGCAGCACACCCCGCTGTGTTTGAGCGGTGCTGCCCCGGGCTCCCGCTCTGCCCGAGCACCGATGACCAACCAGCCACGTAACGAGGGTGTTCTGCAACTCTACCTTGGTGGGTTCGGTTACAAAACACTTTCAGGTCACGCAGGAGCGCTGTAAGTGATAGACAGTCCTGCTGTTTGTGGCTCCAGCAGCACAGAAACCAGCCCAAGTTGCTGGGCTAAAACCATCAGCTACCTTCAGGCTCATGCCTTCCCTGAGCAGGGCAGGGGCAACACTTTCTGAAACTGTTTGTTTTTAAGGGAGAAGCCAAATTTATTTGTGAGCATGCGTGTGTATAAAACAAGCGCAGGAGGAGTCAAAACATCAAAAGCTTATTCCCAAAGCTGCAGCCACTTGAAATGCTGACAGTAACCGAGCAGCTGCGTGAGGCTTTGCCCTGCAGCAAAGGTGAGGTACTGTAACTTAAACTAAGTTTCATTATACATTGAGCCAAGTTACATTCTCTCACACTGGCTCCAGGCTGGAGCTGGACTCAGTTACGAGAGGCCACCTGCCCTGTCCTGGCTGAACCCCGAGGCAGCCCTGGAAAGCGTAGGGACAGGCTGCTAGACCTGCTGATGCTTTTTGGCTACCCCCACCATCCTACCTGGGCGATAGAAAAAGTAGCTCATGCAAAGGGGGGTTAATTTTTTTCCTAGAATTATTTCTACTCTGCCTTTTGTGATACATGACGTTCGTGTGAATGCTCAACACCACCCGTATATAAAGAAAGAAATCCACCTTCAAAACAGCAGAATAGTTTTTGAGGGTTCCTGCCAGGTACAAGCTGGGGCGGTAGTGCCACCCTCCAGCCTCCTCCTCAGGGCAGCCTGCATGAGGAACACGGGGCTGAAGCCGCTGAATGCAGTCCTTGCTCTGGGCAGTCTGAGCAAAAAAGCAGCCGCTCATTCCTGAAGATCAGCTCCTGAGGGTTTTGTCATCCTTGTCAAGTCAAAGTCTGTTCGTTTTGGCTGTAAACCATTCCCTACTTGGAGCGGGACAAGTCTCGGCCCAAGATGACTTAGCCACCACCTCAGCTATGTAGCATTTCATTAGGCAACCCTCACCTCTGTGCTCAGCAGCAGGAGCGTGTGCCAGAGGCAGCAGTGATCCTTGCTGGGAAGCACCTGAGCAGTCTGGATGGGCAAGTACCCAAACGAAAGACAGAAAGGCAGCAAACGCACAGGCGCCCGCTCAGAAGGGAGGGGTAGGAACATTCTCTAAAGGGGAACTTGGTCCTGCCCAACAAGACACACTGCTACCCCTCAGCAGCACCACGCTCCCAGTAACACCCCTGAAGGCAGGCATGGGAACGCAAAGATGAGGTACTGTTCCTCCATGTATCCGATATTCCTCTTGGAGAAGCCATTTTCATATTGCAAAACCTCGGGAGAGGGCGGCTTTTGCCTACTTCAAACACTGTTCAGGATGAACTTCATTCCTGCAGCGACCCTGGTCCCTGCTACTGAAGCCCAGCAGTGAGAATACACATCTCTGGACAGAACACAGACATAATCCTTTTGTTGGGGTTTTTTTTCCCCCCTTCCTCTTCCTTCACGCATGGGTTGACAGGACTGAACGCTGTCCTGTTCTGACTGAACACACATCCACAGTTGCAAAAAGACGAGTTATTAAATTGATATTAGCCATTAAAAAAGTCGCTTGCCTCCTCCAAGAAAGATAAGCGCTACTGAGTGACAAAGAACAAGATTCCACCTCCCATCAGCCGTCATTCCATTGGTTTTATCCCAGTTTAATAGATGATTTGTCAGATTTGTGCAAGACAGTTACCTCTAACATAAGGGGGGGGGGGGGAAATCACAGCAACATATACACACGAAACAAGATACACAAAATAGAGCTAAATTTATATACAGGTTATTAGCAGCTAGACTCTTAACTTCATTTAGTACATGGCTTTACTTACTACAGTTTTAGGCACAGAGAAGAATTTACCGGTAGGGTATCTGCTGTAATGAAGGGCCACAATGAATACCTCGTTCCAAGTCCTCCCTGGGCAGAAACTGATTTACCTAATGAAGATCTGACTCTCATTTCCCACCGGTTGAGGACACAGCCCTGCACAAAGGATGAGAGAACATGACCCAGCTAATTCAGCATACTGCAATTTTAGATATTAAACTTTTTTTTTTTTTTTAAATAAGGTGACACGATGCAGTTACTGAACAGGGTTGAATTTCAATGGAACAATTAGTGCCGGGGGGTGGGGGTGGGGAGTGGGGGAACTCTCAGCTGTAAACAACCCAAAGACGAGCTGGCAAGAAATGATCAGATGTGAAGTTTGCTCTGTAGGCACTTCACATTCATAATGAAGAATTTGCTTTAACAGTATTTAAAAGCACAAAGGTCATGAAACATTTACATTTACTTAGCAGGTTATGTTAATAAATTATGATGCATCATCCACATGCAGGACTCCGTTCCAGGCTGCACTGAAGCAGGTGCTTGGATGTATTTTACGTGCTTGTCCTCCTGATTTAGGACTACAGATTCAGAGCCCAGCAAAACAGGGATGTGCTTTACTTGCAGCATACAAGCAGCCTTTTTTGTTTCAGCGGCACTTCTCACATTCGATTATGCACGCGCAAGTGCTTCGCCAGACTGAGGAATGGCCACATATTTTAATTACTGATTGCTTATGTATAGTATGCCCGTCACAACGAGGAACATGATCACTTACCCAGTGAAAAGGCTGAAAAGAATAAGTACATAACAGAACCAGCCAGATACCATAACAAACACAATTAAAAATTGAAGCAGCGAGCAGATAATTTAAAAAAACAAAACAAAACAAAACAACCTTTAACTTATGAGGCAGGTTGAGAATGATGCAAAGATTTTTCCTTCACAACAGCTTCATTTACAAGTACAGCTCAGCAAGTCTGAAATACTTTATCACAAGAACTCCAAACTTGTTTATCACAGTTATGTCAGAGCTCCTCGCTGAAGGGTGTGTCAGTTTCTATTATAGCCGCTCCCTCCTCTTCTCCAAGGTTTATTACTCAGTCGCTTGGGAAAAAGAGGGGGTTGCTTGAGGCTTTAGAAAGTGCAGAGAATAAGTGAGTTTTTCCCTTTAGAAAAAACCAAAACACTGAGAACTCTTAAACATGCAGGATTACCAAGAAATTTCGAGGGTCTGGAGTTTGGCATTTGATTTTAAAATGGCTATTCTTGATGTTTTCTGGTGTACAAAAAGGGAAGGGGGTTTTAACGTGGAAGAGCAGCTTTGCCATATTAAAAAAACCACACAAACGTATTTTGGGACCACCTTTAAAAGCACATCTATTGAACAAAGGCAAAGTAACGCCTACTTGGACCACTCAGGAGCGACGTGGGCTTACATACAGCCCACTCCACTTAGCCTGCAAGAATTTTGGCTGTAGCTTCTGTTACGCATTGGCAGGGCAGAATCAAATAAGGCTGTGAACAGAGGATTATCAGGGCTGTCAAACTACAGGAAGACCAAACGACAGTTTTTAGCAGTAACAGAACTTGCAACTATTCAGTGTAGTACAGCTATTGTTCAAAAAAGTAACAGTTTCTTCACAGGAACTCTAATGTAAAAGACTTTTGACAGAAGGTTCTCGCATTTGGTACAAAGGTAACTTGTTCCTATGGCTTCTCTGCTCTAAGATCATCACTGGTACAGAACAGTTGGGGTCACAGATTGTCAGGAGACTCTTTGGCTGTCAGTGCGAGAACCGGTGCGCGGTGCATATCCTTGAGGCTTAGCTCGTGTCTCTCACTGGACACGTGGGTTGCCAGAGCGTGACCAAGAAGCAGGTGGCTGTGAAGAAAGGCAGGACTTCAAGCGAAGCAGCAGAGTGATGCAGTCACCCGCTCAAAGCTGGGGCCACTCTGTCGAGGAGAAGGTCAAAACAGAAACCACCCCCTGTACGATCTTGAGTCAAGTGGGCACAGGGAAAGGAAGCAGAAGACTCCACCACTGGTAGGGAACGAAGCCAAGCCAGATAATACAGACAACAAAGTCACCGAAGTGTGTCACACTGGTGAGAAATTCCAGTTTTGACGTTATCTCAAGCTCCCACGAACAGACACGCACATGTGGGCAGGACAAACGGAGCGCTCTGGTTTGGCTTCAGAAAGAACAAAACGGAAGGTTCGCCATTCGGTTTGCTATGTACAACAACACTGCGCTGCACGCCTCATTGCCGAGATGCTGTCTGCTGTAGTCTAGGAACACTTAAATAAAATCCCTCTTAGTCACAAAGAGCAGCAGATGAGTATCTCTGCAGGAAGGAGAGCCGAAACCCACTGCTGTACGTGACCATACGTGGTGCCAGTCCTTCTGGGATGAACACCCGCGGTCATTCCACAGTGTCTAGTACCTCCTTAGCTTGCCTGAAGCAGAGAACTTCCCTGTTCTTATTTCAACCTGTTCGATCCCAATCCTGTTCGGACTCTTCCAGCACAAAGCCATGCTATGACTTTCCCCCCGCTGCCACAACATGCCTGTCCGAATTATGCAGTCTCTTTCAGCAGTCCCAGTTTCCGAAGTGCCTCTCTCCTGGCTTCTTCTGTTGAGCCACGGCCAGAAAACTTTACCGTTATCCCTTGGGATCGAAATCCTGAAGGTCTAGGCAGTGATCCCGATCTCCTCCTCATATCCAGGTTTAGACTAGGTTGTTTATAATCATTAAAAGTTTTTGCTGTGGTCTGCTGTGCACCGCTGGCCTTGTTAGCAGCAAGAGCTACCTCTGGTTTGATTGTTACCGTTTTGCCCACAGGAAGGAAAGGGCTGGGTTCGCTTTTTAAAATCTCGTGGATGTTTTGATATCCATTGGGAACAGCATCTGCCTGCTTGGGCTGCACATCAAGCTGCTGAGTGCTTGGGGCACGGTCCACTTGGTCCTGAGCTGGCTTTCCCTTAACTAGGCCAAGTTTTGACAGAGCCTCGTATCGTGTTTGCTCAGAGGAGAGGTCCCTTAAGGAAGAACTTCTGTTACGTGACAAGAAATCATTTTTCTGCAGCTTCTCCTCCAGTTCAGCTGCCAGAAAAGCTCCTCCATTGATGTTGGCCAGCACCTGAGCTCTCCGCTCCTGGACGTTAACTGCTGCTTTCGAAATGGTCTCATTGAACTCTTTGCCACTGACGTTCGTTATGTTGATGTTGCTGGGGAAGCGGTGCAGTTTGGGTGCGGGTGCAGGAGGGTGCTTTGGAGCCACAAAAGAGTCACCGTTGGGCACTGGGGTTTTCTTCCTGTCCGAATTCCCTTCCTTGAGGGCGCTGGGGAAGCGCGCCTTGCTCTCCAGCTGCTGCTCAGACATCTTCTGGGCCATGATGAGTGGAGTGGGGATAGAACGAAGCAATTTCGGATGCTGCACTGGAGGAGGGGGTGGCAGAGGAAGAGGAAGCGTCTCGGGCATTGGTGGTGGTGGTACAGGGGGATGTGGGGGAAGGTCAGCAGGTGCAGCTGGCTTAGGGCTCTCAGCTCTCCAGGTAGCATCCAGCACTTAAAAAGACAAAGCAGCAACGATGTCATTAGGGCTTCACACAGAGCAGAACACAAGGCTTGCTTTCACCCAGCATTAGCAAGCACCAGTGCTGCCCTCCCCCAAACCTCCTAACTCAAACTCAGCCCACGTTGCCAGAGGCAGCTGTACCTGAACTAGCATCGGCATCTCGTAGGCGACGCTGTAGTTCACGTCCCCATATTTACAATGCATTCACTGGAAGCCCTTCCTGCCACGCATTCACAATCTGCACGTTACCTTCACTGCGTTTCAACGGCTGCTTTTTCCAAGAGCTTTGCAACTCTTATTGTTTATTCTAACAGCCAGGAGAGGACGCGTTACAGCCCACTGCATGTGCTAGCTGATAAACCCATTCTCCAAAAAAAACAGAGAGAGCCAGCTCTACAGGGTGAAGAAAACAACATGCCGTACACTGTCTTGTCACAAACTTACTGGCAGGATCATGTGTCTTGCAGTCCCACACTAAGTAACACTACAAACAATCTGCCATCTTAAAGCGCTTAGAGAAACTCTTAAGAGGTCTTAGAAGCAGAGCGTGAAGAGGTTGATGAACAGCAGTCTGCTGCGCTGCGATGACTCTGCATAATACTCAGTTCTGTTACAACTCAGTCACCAGGTAGGGGACTGAGATAGAAGTCCCCCAACTTAATTATGTGCGTGACCTCCATGAGAAAGAAAAAAATGTTATAGTAACAGCAAGAATTTCAGAAATCCTAAGTCAAATTAAAATCACAGTCCTTAGAGCTCCTGATCTGTCACAGATTCACCTTGAGGCAGAAACAGCTAAAGAAATTCTGTACCTTCCTTACTAAGGAGAGTATGTCAGGGCTAAGTCAAAGGGAAAAAAACCCACACTTTCAAGAAATACGACTACCTGGTTCTGGATCCCTGCTAGGAGGGCCTTCATGGTCGCTACTCTCAGGTGTTGACTGCACTAAATCGATGATATCTTCAGTCTCTGAATGACTGGACACATTTTCTTCCGTTGACCTTGGAGATTGACAGTGGATGCCACTGTCACGTAGGACTGGCTCCTCCAAGTCATCTTCTAAGGCATCTATGGTTTCCTCAAAGAACATGAGAACATCCTGCTCTTCGTGAGTTAAGTATTTCAGACTCTCATCATCCTATGGAGAAAAAAGAAAAAAGCTGGAAAGATTAACGCCCTACAGGTGAGTACAGGAAAGTACCCTGAGAGGAAACAGCACCCCTTTTTGAAGGCAGAAAGGGCCAAGATGAAACAGGCAGCAGTCCCACCAGAAGCATCTCCTGCTTGCTGTTTCAGCCCTTCCCAAGGAGGCGTTCAGCCACTACAATGCAAGAGGAAAAAAAAAAAAGCCAGTTTACAGGGCATTAGTTTTGACTGAAGAACAGCAGCTGGTATTTCATCCTTTAAAGTACCTAACTAGTTCAGCAGACAAGTGTCCATTTGGGTTGGACAGAACAAATTGCTAAAAGATCATAAGAGCAGACATAAAAAAAAGGTAAAAACCAGCCCACACCTGAACCTTTACAAGGGTTCAGATACCTTCTTCAGGATCCAAACTGGAGTAAGCTGTTTCAGTTGCTGTGTCAGGTTCAGGGACAAGGCTTGGGGAGCAACATGGGAGGGCAAGGGTGCACTCGGGACAGTCCAACAAACGGGTTGATTCCCTTATTACTTAGACCAAAATGCGACTTGGCTTCTAGAGGCAGAGCTGGAGCTACAATCTGGCTCTACCACTGCAATCCCTGAGCTATCCAGAGTTGTGATAGATTACAAAGAAGTACTAAGGAGGGAGAGGGTTTCTGAAGATTTTTACCTTTGAGTTACAGAAAGGAAAAATTTAGAATAAGTAGGAAGATGTGTTCCCTAGCACTAAAGTGCCTCGGGCTATTTTCTCCTGCAGGAAACAATCTTTTAGACCACTGAAATGATAAATAATCACTTGGATTATCCAGTCTTCATTTTCTATGAGTCACTGCTCTTGATTAACAGAATATTGCTATGAGAAGCCAGGCAGCAATGCGCAAACTCTCTTCCCTCCACCTACACCCTGGGAAACACTCACTTTTCCAGAAGCTTGGAGATGACAAAGAATGATTAGGAAAGGCACCACATTAAGACAATGGATACAGGAAAGAAATTTCCCAAGAGAGCTGTGTAAGTTCTGGAATGTAGCTAAGTATTGTTGAAAAGTAAGTGAGGTTTTCCCTTTTCAGGATTGAATTTCTCTCCCACCAGGCATACACGGGAAAGTGGGCTGTCAGTAACTTGACATGAAGGCACCAGCAAAGCAATAGTGTCTACTTTCTCATCTTTACTTTTTACTTCTTCAGGGACGTCAGATTTAGCATGGAGGCTACATCTAAGCGGTGGATTGGGGGAATTTAGGTAAATACATGAAGGTATGCAGTGCAAATATGGAAGAGGTAGACTTGTTCTTGCTAGGGCAGCGCGACTTGCTTCAAACTCACCGTGCCTGTTCAGATCATCTTACGTTAGATTACACTAGAAAAAAACTGTCTGCAGCTCTACCTGTTAGCTCCTTGCGCCAACAAAGGTTTTTATCCCCGTCCCTGGCATTAAAAATAAAACCAATGGTACCTCTGTAGAAAAGTAAGGCCTATAGATTGAGAGCTATGAACTGCTGTGTCGTACCAAGCAGCAGTTAGTCTCTAAGCACTCAAAATGCTACGGATGAGAAAATAAATGCTTTAGGGCTCTTAGGTGGCTTCTCCTGTGTGGCCTGTAGAACATTTTCCCCGTAAATAAATGAACAAAATACAGAAGACTGTCGCACTGCTGTTCAGACACTTGAGGACAGGTTTGCTTATCTGTGGCTGCAATCATGTCAACACAGCAGCCTTCAGTCACAGCAGGCACAGTTTTTGGTTAAAACAGAAGACTGAAGTCTTGCAGGGAAATAAAAAGTTGGTTTTAATGCTACGACCACATTTCTAGAGATTCAGATTTATTGTCACCAGGGTGAATGTTGTTTGATGGTTGGGAGACAGGTACAGAGGTGTGGGTAATTTGTAACTTGGTCTTACCACTCACAGAGTACCGTCAGAATAAGTAACTTATTCCAGCTTGCAGCAAAACTGCTATAAAAGCTTAAATTTGGATGCCATTTGCAATTGCCTATTTAAGGAATAACTTCAAAGGCTGACGTATTCCACAGCTCGCAACCACCACATGGCAGAGCTCAGTTTTCAAAGGCCAAGGAAAGTTTTACAGCCGCACTTGAAAAGTGAGAGACAGACTAGCCTTCTTTCTTTTTTTTCCTTAATGGATGTTGCAATCTCCTTCCTTCCCCACCCAAATACTCATACGGCTGCTATGTCTAGCAGGCGAGAGAATGACAGGAAAGCAGCCCTTGTGAGGTAGGCCCGAGCTGGAGCTGAACAGGACTGCGAGGAGCTTTTGTTGCGGGTGAGCTCACTGCAAGAGCCAGACTTCCGCAGGCAAAGGGAAAAAGAAAAAGGGGGGCTGCGTTTAGGAAGTTCATAGCAGCAGCAGGTCCAGACTGTGGTGCAGTACAGAAACGAATGCACCCCGCTTTGCTCATTTGAAAGAGCAACTGCTCCCACATGAGCTTAACTCGATCGATCAAGAGTTGTGCAAAACAGCAGGTGAACTGAAGCAGAGACTGTCAGAAGCCCGCCCTTCCTTCCTTCCATTTCTGTGCTGCAAGACTGAGCGCTTTTCCATGCCAGGTAAGATTTGCAGGAGGATTGGTCAGCAGAGCTCTGCCTGATTTACAATCCCTCATGGATCTTGCTGAAGCGAGTAGTTTCCCGTTAGGTGAAGGATCTGAAATGACTAACCATCCCTTTGCAAATACATTTGTAGTAAATGGCATACCTAGATTTGAAAGGCCAACCTCATCTCAGTTAGCACTTTGATCTCTTTCCTCCTACAGTTTTCCTTCAAGATGACCAATGTCACATTTCCTCAGGAAACAAAAAACCAACCAACCAAACAGACAGCAGCTCCAGAGATTAGGTAGCATTATGGCAGGTCACCATCTGAGATGCAAGGCATCCAGCCTGGCTAGAAACTCCCCCAGGCAAGGCATGTTTCAGTTTGTGAGCCAAAGAAACAATCCCATTTCAAGCACAGTGAAAACAAACCTACTCAAGCTGGTCAAACCAAAGGCACTCAGAGATGTGAAGCAAGCAGTGACTTGCTTTACCACTGGTCCGAGAACAGAAGTGCATTATAAAATACCCACTTGTATTGCCTGTATTATAGTGACGCTTTCAGAAAGATGGGAGGAATTTTGTTGTAGTTAACTGGTGCCAGTTTTAACTAAGGTTACCAAGTCTATTTGTAATTAGTTCATTTTACACATATCCCAAGTACTGGAACAGTTCATATCCTTTTTGGGCTGCTTTTCCAGGCCTCCTTTCTCCTTGAAGAACCTGGGTTTCTAACAGTCAAAGCAGAGTCTTTTCAGCGACTCGAGTTATTCGCCTCATACTTTCCACCAACTCCCTACTCTTAATACACAAACACACCTCCCAAAACTAAATCTCACGTCCACTTAACACTACTGACTTTAAATCTACTGTCAAAAGATAGCCTAAATTTGAAACTTGAAAATTGTGCCTTAGCTGAGGATCAAACAGACTGCTTGGACAGAAGAAATTTTGGATGCAAACAGCTGAAATAGCTGAGTATGCTCAGCTGGCATTAATATTTTAGATCTCTGTGCAGCCAAACATTTCCTGCTTAAGCCAAACAGGAAAGAGTCTGTTATGATTGTGTTTGGTATAAAAGATGAAAAAAGAAAAAAGAACAACAGAACCTGTTTCACAGAAGAGACCCCTATCCTACCTGTCCAAAACAGTGACAGCAGAGGCCCACAATTTTTCACATGCATCTGAAGAAATTCTTAACATCACATCCAGACCTTGAATCCTAAGACCAGCTCAGCTTTGACACAAAACAAATAGCAGGGGAAATCCCAAGACATTTGCAGTGGTTTAAAAAAAAAAAAAAAGTCATTCTTCTGAAAACTGCTACAGACCAAACTTCAATTAGCAAAATACCAGGAGAACACCAGATTCAACTGATTTATCATCAGTCATTTGACAGTGCCAAAGAATTAATAGGCAGAGTTCCATGGGAGAGCAGTGACTGGATGCTTCTCAAAAAACCACAAAGGGAGCAAACTATTGTAACATGTAGTAGAAAGAGACCAATCGAGCACCACTTAGGCCTTGGCCTGTTAATAACAAGGCAGGCGGTTCTACCTGTGAAAGGAAAGGGGGGGAAGGAAAGCCCTGCATGCAGGAGCAGTATCAGAACAGGTACAAAAGCTTCAGTGCAAAAGAAAGAGGCAAGTACCTCTGATTATATCCACAGGAAAGGGAAACAGAACGGATCGTACTGCTGCGTTGCTCGAGTTGGAAGCAAGTGAATTACAGGGAGGAAGAAGAACTTCCATCCAGGATCAGACTCAAAAGACCATTTAGCTCCATAGCCTGCCTTCAGCCATCAGTAATGCACAGGACAGGGGAACGAGGGAAGAGTACTGCTGTAAATTGCATGGATTTATATTTTTCTTCCTTACATCCTTCCAGTTTCCAGCAATACATGGCTTAAGGACTTCCCAGTTGCATCCGCATCTGTGTACTTAATAGCCCTTAATGAGCCTTTCTAGCATGAATTCATCTTATTGTTTAAGCCCATTTAAAGGGCTGGCATTCACAGCATTCTGTGGCAATGAGTTCCATGGTTTAATTGTGTGCTGTGTCAAAAAGTACTTCCTTTACAACCCACTATCTGATGATTTTGATAATACCATTTCATTTGGCAAAGACAACTATAATATCGAATGTTGTTTTCTTCAGTTTATTAATATAATTGTACCTGTGTGCTTCGTAATAGTTAGCAAAGCATATAATCAATAGGTCATAAGTGAGGAAACAAATGATCTAGAAGTATTTAAAATATAAACTAGATGAACGGAAGTCACACCGGTTAAAATACTTCTAACCTACTTTTAGAAAAAGCAAGCTAAAGCAATGCAAGATCTACATAAACTCTGAAGAGATCTCTCTGGTTATCAAAGTTCGGCTAATCAGCTTATAATTTCTTCTTTCCTTTAATTTCTATTTTAGAACAACATTGAGAAAA